ATGAAAGGATTAGAGATCATAAGCTTGGAAAGGCTGTTTTCTAAGTGCTGTGCCCTAAACCACCTGATGTGGTATCTCTTCATCCAAGTACTACTTTTGATTTTCATGTGTGCTTTCCCTTTGTAGCATCAGTTAACAAGTAAAGGAATGGATTCAGGCTCAGCATTCAGACTCTTCTTCATGAGTTAAGAAAAGAAGTCTGGTTGTGGAGCTTCCTTCTGCGTAAGATGATAAATGTGATTGCAGGAGGACAACTTTGAATAAACTAAGAAAAATTCAAAAACATCTTCTTGGACCTTCTTACTTTTCATTCTTACTATCTGTTTGTCTGCTCACTGCCAGTGTCTGGCCATGTGCTGATCAGGCCCTGGGCAGGACTGCTGGTAGAATCCCCTGAGGAGCTCAGCTAGCACTTGCCATCCTGAGGAGCTTATGTGAGCATGTGAAGTGTGACAGGGAAGGGGCCTGCCATGTGGGATGGGTGCAGGATGAGGAGTTAGAGGAAGGAGCAAGGGTGGAAGAGTCCAACTGGACCAAAAGATGCTCTTGTGAGACCCCCAAGAGTTCTGATGGCTTGTAGGTCTCCACTCAGTGTCCCTTTCCCTGCCAAGGCTTGGTAATGGGAGCAAGGCTGTAGTATTCTGCTGACATGTTAAGGTTCTCCATGTTCCCACTGGAGGACATCAACCAGGGACTGCACGAGGTGTCCAGCTGGCATGGCCATGTTGTCCCCAGCCTCATGGCTTTGCTGGGGCTTGCTTTTACTATCTCATGGCCTTACCTTGATCTGTCAGTGTTTTACTGTTATGGCTGCAGTAACATCAGCTCTGGGGTTGGGAAGAGCCTGTTGGACACACTTAATCAAACTCTGCTTTGCCTTTTCCAGCCCCAAACCACCACCTCCTGAGGGGGTGAAGTCCAACCCCTCCAAGAGGCATCGAGATCGACTCAATGAGGAACTGAACAAGCTGACTGGCTTGCTGCCCTTCTCTGAAGATGTATGCACCAGGTTTGATAAACTCTCCACCCTGCGACTGACGGTAGGATACCTGAAGGTGAAGAATTATCTTATGGGTAAGTGCCTTGTGTCAGGGTTGAGAGGAGTGAGAAAGCACCTGGGCTCAATCCCTGCTGCACTGTTCACATCCCATCCTGAAGTGATGATTGCTTTGGGGTGGAGAGTTGTATTCCCTGAAGATAGAATGATGATTGTGATATCAAACTCTTGAATATTAATCTTAGAATCACAGAATGGCTTGAGTTGGAAGGGACCTCGAGGATCATTGAGTTCCAACTCCCTGCCACAGACAGGGCCAGCAACCTCCAGATCTGGTACTAGACCTGGTTGCCCAGGGTCCCATCCAACCTGGCCTTGAACACCTCCAGGGGCAGAGCATCCACAGCCTCTCTGGGCAGCTGTTCCAGCACCTCACCACTCTCTGTAAAGAGCTTCCTCCTGACATTCAATCTAAATCTTCCCTCCTTGAGCTTAAAACCATTTCCCCTTGTCTTGTCACTCTCTACCCTTGTAAAAAGTTGATTCCCCTCCTGTTTAATACTGCATCGATGTTGTATCTTTAGCAGTGGACCAAAGATAATCTGGAAAATTGGGGAGAAAAGTGCCACGTCTCCTAAAATGTGTAGGCAGTTGTTGCTGGGAGATATGATCACGGGACATCAATCCCTCAAATCTTCCAGAGAAAACACTTTTTGTCCTTTCTGGAAAGAATGCCCTTCATTTTTGACTGCTTCACATCCAGATCTAAACCTCTTCAGGGAGTTACACGTCCCTGAAAAGAAACAACCTTGGGAAAGCAAAGACAACTTGGGCATCAGGAATGTCCAGGAAGGACATTGCAGGAGCCCACACAGGACGTGGATGGGGGAAAGGGGATATCCATGTGAAAATTTTCAAAAAATTCTTTACATTATAGGGATCTGTGGGCTGCTGCATCTCTTCTGGTCAAGCATAGGTAGGAAATCCAATGCAGGGCTGTTCTGTTTGTCACCCTGATGCCCTGTGGATGGAAGGTTAAGCAAAGTTGATCCTAAGGCACATGTTCACTGTTAGCTCATTTCTTTCCTGTTCTTCCTGGAGTTCGTGTGTACATTGGAGGCCCACTGCTGTTTGCCTGCCTGGCACAGCTAGGATTGGCTGTGGTGGATCCTCTAGGTCTGAAACAAGCATTTCTGTGAAATGGGGCATGATGGCTCATAACGAGGGACCCCTGTCTGATTTTGCAGAGTGGAATGTTGAGCTGATATGCCTGGAAGACCAGTCTCCTTACATATGCCCCTCTAAAGCCCTGTGTAGCTCCCTTCCTCCTGCTCATGGCTCCCCTACAGCAGCTATTGCCTTCTGGATTTTCAGTGGTAGTTGGTGTATCTAAGATAGTTACTACTGATTAAAAGTCCTGTGCTGAGGGCTCCCAGCTGTTCCTGCAGACTTTGCCTTTGCTGTGGATGAACTCAGCCTTGGGGAGCAAAGGTTGCCTTGTGCTTGTCATGCACGACTTCCTTTCTTCTGGTATCATGGGGTGCTCAGTGTTTCCTTACTGCTTTCCCATAGGTTAACTGCTTTTAGGAGGCTGAACTTATTAGGAGGCACCTTGCCACACAATGTCACACTGGCTGCATGTGCACAGAGGAATACTTGTGTGTGTATTTGCCAGTGCACAGAGGAATACTTGTGTGTGTATTTGCTTTCGATACTGTTGGGCTCCTCAGAAGCCGTTCTGCACAGACAGCAAGCCTTGCTAAATGTCTTCCTCTGTCTTCTTTTTGGGGAATGAATCTGGGAAGTAGGATTCAGCCCCCTGGGTGGTTAGGTCCTTGCTGACATGCAGCCTAATGCTGTGAGGGCAAGGTAGGTCTGGAATGCTACTGCTGTGCAAGGTGATGGTGGTGGCATAACATCACCCTGCCTTGCTTGGTTAATGTTCAAAGGAGGACAGCTGTCCCTCTGTACCAGTGCCATGGGGCTCTGCAGCAGGTAGGAAGTGAAACAGCCACACAGAGCCTGGCAAGCAGGCTTGTCTCCACGTGTTCATGAGTCACCTCCCTGCTGGTGGGACGTGAACTTCAGACTGCAACACAAATAAAGCCAGAAAGGCAGCTGGAGATTGCTTTCATAACTTGTTTACAAGGGCAGGTAAATACTGCAGAGCAGTGCTCATCCTGCAGCTGGGGGAGACGAGCTTGGCATGGTGAGGGGACAGGGACAGGCACATGGTTCTTCACCAGTGCCTTGTGCTCTGTGGGAGAGGTGATGGACCCAACTGTGCTGTTTCAGGGAAGATGAAGGCAGAGCACACTGAGGTCAGAAAGCCACCAGCATTCTTCTACACTCCAAAACTCTTCCTAAGTCATCTTTCCTCTAGGACAAATAAACTCAACTCTCCTGGCTTTTGCCCCATGCCCAGTCTGTAAGCTGTCCCCTGGGGCTCTCCCTGGGCCCTTCCAGCTAGGGATGCACATCACTATGAGTGGACCCCTTGCCGAGCACACTTCAGCTGGGTCTCTGCCTTTGAGCAGGAGTGCATCCCACTGTGTGCTCTCAGCATGCATTTTCCCAGGGTGAGAGCTGCTTTAGAAAAGCAATCATCATCGTGTATATTCACATTCAGCTTGAAACTCATCCTTGTAGAGCAGAGCCCTTCTGCCAGCCCAATTACTGCCATTTGGGCACTGTGCCCTTGATTTATTTCCCCTCCCTTGCTTTGCCCATGTTTGCTTTGAAACTAATCTTGTTTGACTTCAGATCATTCTACTGATTCACTAAGATCAACGTCAGTTCTGGCCCTGTCTGCTGAAGCCATGTGTCATCAAGGAGTCATGGCAACCTGCCTATGGTTTATCATCTCAGGCACTGTGGGAGAAGACAACAAAATCATTCCTATTGCTCTCTCTGGTTCAGTTTTGCTGCTGGGTGTGTTCCATTTCATGCAGCCTTCCCTCCTGCAGAAGCAGCAGGAGAGCATGGCATGGCCTTGGTGGGCATCTCCATCCCTTGCTGTCCCCTTCAGCACCCAGTCAGGCATTCTAATTTGTGTCATATTGATAGAGCTCCTCTTTCCAAATGTTTTTAGTGAGTCCAGGCACATGCCCCTTCTCCTAGGAGAAATGTTTGTGTATTCTGTGTGGAGCCAAAGTACGTGGTTATAACCGGTTTGGCAGGGAGGCGGGTGCTGGCAATCCTGGCTGTGTGCCCACGCAGGCTGTGTTGTAGGTTAGAAGTAAAAATCCCACTGCTAGAGGTGGTTCTTGCAACGTACCAGAAAGTCCATCTGAGACTGAGATCCCTGCACAAGACCTGAAGCCAAAGCAGCAGATATTCAGCACTTTGGAGCAGGAGTTTGCATGTGAAAGCAGGAGTGAACAGATACGAGGAATGGGCTCATGCTCACTATCTAATCTCTCTTTGCTACTTTCTGCTTTGTATTTCACCTGCATATTTCACCTGCAGCCTTTCACAGAACCATGAAGCTGTTTGAGTTGGAAGGACCTTTAAAGGTCATCTAGTCCAAGATAGGTCAAGTTGCTCAGGGTGTGGTCCACCTGATCTTGAGGTAATTCAAGATCAGTTACACTCCTTCTCTACTCACTCGTGACTGCAATAAACAGACATCCATGGAAAGCATAGTCTTGGACTGCCTGAGATCCCAGTCTTATACATTACAGAGCTCCTGGGTCTGGCTTTTTGGTGCTGGTGGTGTATTTCTTCACCTTCTTCTTTTCAATTTAAATGTTTAGGGAGAAACTGGTGAGAGATGGATGGAACAATCCTCTCGTCCTACCTGCATGCATTCATTGGCCATATTTCTTCTTCATATTTCATCCCAATACAGCTTTTTTTGGTTTGGAAACTTTCTCAGGAAGACCCTGCAGAGGTGACAGACCTTCATCTGATTTCTTTTTAGTGTTGATGGAGGGATCCATGTACCTTGCTCCCCAGATGGAGAAGGGCAAGCTTACCTGAAGAGCATACAACACCTGCTTGAATTACTAGGGAAGCCTTCCTGGAGGCTGGCTTCTACTGAGCTGGTCAGGCTTTGTGTGAGTGTTCAGAAACATGCTTTGGCTGTGACAGGTTTGCATGTCCAACACCAGAATGCAAGTGGCATCCAGTAGCTGTGCCTTGTAAGGTCACATCCCTGGCCTCTGTCCTACTGCAGCTCATGGGCTAAGCTTGTCTGACAGAAGCTCTTCATCAGAGCAGGTTGTTCTATTTTTAAACCAGTGAGAGCTGTTACCTGGAAGTTTGAAGCAGGAAATCTAGTGCATTTACCAGCACACTCATGAAAATGCACGTGGCAGTTGTGACGCTGCCCCAAATCACCATAAATCATCTGCCCTGCAAAGTGCCATAAACAAGCAGAGAGGAATGTTTCAGAAATGTTTCATAAGACCTCTTCTAAGCCTGACAGAAATGGTACTGACGTGTATAGATGGGCTGAAAGCTTGGCAAGGATGGTTAATGTTTTCTGACAAGCTCTGCAGCTTCTGTCTAGTAAATGATTGATCTGTGCCCTCTTGGGGGTTGACTACAGTTCACGGAAGAAGTGACCATTTCCTGGTGTTCCCACCAGGTTATATCTTGTTCCAAGCAAGGCTGTCATTTTGAGGGAACAAGCCTAGATGCCCTTATATGTGTTGGATTTAGAGCTGGGTTTGTTGTACAGATTTTTGTGCCTACTGTAAGTGTTTGCATCATGACTTGTGCAAGACTTCATTATCTGCTGGAGAGAGCAAGCCAGGTGCATGCTTTGCATGTCAGGTGCATGCAGGCTCGGTGACCTAGAGGCAAGTTTTGCTCTGCGTCAGAGCTCTGCATACCCAGCCAGCATGCTTAGCATGGGATAGGGTAACCCCTCCTGCCCATTCATATCAACAAACTCAAAGCAGAAAAGGAATAAATGACCAGACTTTCTGGGAAATGATTTTCCAAACCTCTGGCATCGCCATGGCTTTTCTGTTCTTACCTGGTACGAAGCTTGCATGTCCCTCCTGAGATATCCCTGCATTATTCCTGCATAACATTGCTTTTGGCTCATCCTTGTCTTTCTTGGGACATGAGGAAGAGGTCATCAGCGTGCACAGCAAGAGGACAGCCAAGGTGAGTGCATGGGAAGCAGACAGGTAGATGCTTCTGAGTCCTCTACTGGATTGGAGAAGGGTCACTGTTATCATGATTTCTGCTTAGGATCCTGGTCAGCACGATTGCAGCTGGAAGCTCACAAGGATTTCGGTTTTGAAAGTTGAAAGAAACAGTGGGTTTTTTTGTTGTTGTCATTTTATTTTGATTTTTTACTTGAACTTTGTTCTGGTGTATGGTGCTGTTTGGAAATCAGACGTTATTGCAGGGTAATAACTCTTTGGACTGACTTAGCTTTGAATCTGCTTTGCCTATTTTACTCCTGTAGGTGCATAAGAGCCATGGGGAGCTCTGCCTACAGCCTTCCCCAGGCTAGCCTAGCCCAGCTCCCAGCTTGGATTCAATGGGCTTGGATTGATCTCCTCATTCTCCAAGGAATAGTGTGGTGCAGCACCATCTCAGTCTCAGCATATGAGAGGTGTATGTGTTGAGTTCTGGTGGTCCCCAGTTGGTGCATGTCAAGTGCCAGCAAGACAATAAACAGCTTGCTCCATGCATCTGGGGCAAGCAGGAACCTGTAACAGTGGAGGAGTCCTGTGTTCACTCTTCTGAACACCACGAGACTCCCATTGTTAGAGCCTGCTATAAGTAGGAAAGCTTGAGTCCTTCCCTAGGTTATATGGGAAAAACATGGCAAGGTTCAGGGCTTGTTCTCTTCCAAGCTTTGTTCATTGAATACAGCCTTTGAGTGCTGGTGAATAGCAAGGACAACTACTAGGATTTATTTCAATGAGTAAGCTAGATTGTGCTTTACCATCATAGGCTGTGACATGGTTTCAAGTACAGATGTGTTTTAGCAGTAGGAGCAACTAGTGTTCTACCTCTGGGAGACAGCTTGATGACAGCCCACATTTCAGTTTGGAGGATGGCTTTGTTCTGATCAGCTCTGTGATGCCAACGCTGCTCTACGTCTGGGAACTCTTCTCAGGTGCTGTGAGAACAGGGTGAACCACTGTCCAGTTTTTCATTTACTTCTCCCTACAGTTGGCCCATTCTGGCTTCTTAGCAGTCAAACCATCAAAAGAAAAAGTCACTTCAAGTCACTTTTGTTACTTCTGTAAAAGATAGATGAACCTCACTGCGTTTCTCTCCACAAACAGCAATTTGCAGTGGTTGCTCCTTGGACTTGGATCCGACAGTGTTCTGGATAAACATGGAGGGACTTCGCCAATCCTCATCTTTGTGAGAGTATGCCAAAGGAGGAAAGCTTGGCGCTGAGTTTGCAGTGCTGCTGGGTGCCCTGGACTCCTGATGTGGTGGGACCCCCACTTGCTGCAAACAGTGAGACCTCAAAGCTTGGATGGATTTGTCTAGTGCTGAGTGGCTTGGAAAGCCTCCAGCTAGCTGGAGATCTGTGCTGGGGTTTGTTTTCTAGAGTTCGCATAACAAAAGAAGCAGATGCTGAGGATTGTGGAGAAACATCTTGGAGTAATTGCTGATGTGGCAAAGTTCTGGCTGTGCTAAAGACTAGAGCAGCAAAAACAAAACAAAAACAGAACCCAGAGCTTAAAATGTTCTGCCAGCTGGAGGGGGCATGCTCAGGGTGTGTGCTGCTATACCACTGTCCCAGGTTAAGGTCATGCAGGTGGCAGCATCTGCAGTAGAGAGCCCTCTCCAAGTACAAGACCATGCTCTGGAGCTCATAAAACCAATGGCCAATAGTAGGGTACCTCCTGTGACCCATTGGCCCACACACAGCCCGCTGTCAGCCTGGGGAAGGTTAGCTGCCCTTTGCAGACAAGCAATTGAGCACCAGTAGGTGCTGGTGCAAAAATGCATCCACTGGAACAGGCTGCCTGGGAGGGCTGTGGATTTTCCTTCTCTGGAGATATTCAAAACCCCCAACTGTGCAGCCTGCTGTAGGGGGCTTGCTTTGCAGGGGAGCTGAACTCAATGATCTCTGGAGGTCCCTTCCAGACCCTACAATTCTGTGATCCCTTGAGGATGAGCTGAGCAGTATGGTTCTGTCATCAGAGGGAGCTGATGCCCCACTGGAACACCATTAATCTGACAAAGAGTTGCAGGATGTGTTCTCCAATGTCCACATTTCCCACCAGCAGTATGGGACACTCACTGTCCCTGCACTGTGCAGTTAGGAGGGATAGATGCCAGGCTCCTGTCTGTGCTGGGGACTTACTCTGTTAGAGCAGAGGGTTGGCCTAAGAGATCTCAGGAGGTCTCTCCAACCTCTGCTGTTGTCTGACTCTGTAATGCTCTGCTGTGGGGCACCACTGCAGCCAGCATTAAAACAGCTTTTCTATTCACCTCCTTATTGCTTGTTATTCCCATAACCCAGAGTTGCAGGCATCTAGTCTTAAAGTAACTAATTCAATGAAAGAAGTCAAGTCTGTGGGCAAGGTCCTGCAGGATCGTAGCAGCAGGTTGGAGGTGGTGGCGTGGGCTCCCTCAGGGATTCATGCACTGTTTGGGAGAATACTGGATGACTTCTTGCAACAGTTTCTGATCTGTGGGTTTGGCATTTACCTGCAGAAGGATGTTTTCCTTGGATGATGTGTACCTGCTCTGCTTGGCACTGTGCAATGGTTGAACAATGGAGGAGAAAGTTGGTGCTAATTTGTTGGGTTTAGGATTGGGTCCAAGAGGAAAACAGTTACAAGCAGCATGGTGTTACTGGAAGATCTGGGAGCTCCTAGTTTTGTGGTACCAAACATCCCCAGAATCTGTTGAAAGGGGAATTTTTGCTGCAGGTGAAGTCTCTCATCTCCGACTGGTGTAACTCAACCTATGGGACCAGGACTGACCCCAGGATCTTTTACTGATAATATTTTTTTCCCGTTGACAAAGCTATGCCAGTTTGCAAGGGACGTGTCAGCTTCTGTGGTCACACTGCTGTAATTTGTCTCAATAATACAATGAGCAAAAGGTGAAGAGTTTTCATCGCTTTGCTCCTTCTTCTCATTCTTTCTCCACACTTCAAAGCTTAGAAACTTCCTGTTGAAGGCAAGGATCACCAACCCAGCAGAGTGCTGTTGGGGATGTATGTGCAGTTCATGGGCACCAGGATCTGCTGTGTCTGGCTGTACTTCCTCCCCTCTTCTTTAACACTGTACACCAAAAGCCTGTTTCCCAGCCCAATGAAGACATGAATGGTCCCTAAATTACTTCAGCAAGTGCCAGGGATTTGTGTAGTAACTGCAGATCACTTGTGTGTCATGCTATCTCCTGTCTTGCATTAATTGCTGGTTTTCCTGGAAATCCTTGCTATGTGATTCACCAGGGTGCTGAGATTTTCTGGCATTAGCCTTAAAAACTAGCGAAAGCTTATTTTATGCTCATTTTTCAGTGGATATGGAAGCAGGGTGTCTAGTAAAGGAAAGGAAGAAAGGGCAAAAAGAATCAGCGGTGACTTCTGTGCTCCCATGCTGGGCTTGGGGAATATACAAGGGAATGAAGTACAGCAAAGATCTAAAACCACTTCTTTTAAATGGTTTTCAGGCAGGCTTGGGGTTTCTTTTAATGGGATAAACTTTTTGATCTCGACTGTTTCTTGTAGGAGTCTCAATGTTATTCTATAATGTGTGTCTTAAACTGGGGGTGACTTACCCAGCGCACAGCACTGCCTGTCAGCTCTGTCACCCAGCAATGCCTCGCAGCTGCAGGAGGGCAGGGGGCTTGAAGCCATCAGCTTGTGTCATCAGTGAGCAGAGCCAGCCAGCACGTGCAGTGGGAGCACTGCCTTTTGTGGGGCAGCAATTCTGCCAGTTGTCTCTGATGGGAGTGGATTTATGTGCTGGTGAAATCCCCCAGGAGGTAACGTGCCTTGAGCAGATGTTTCACAAGTGCTCCCTCTCTCTCATGGGTGCAAATGGGGTGGTTTTTCTGCTCTTTGATTAAACGGATTTGTTTCCCTTCCAAACTAAAATGATTGAAAATAGCCTCTGTATCCCTTGATTGTTGTGTAGGCCTGGAGTCCTCTGTGTGGCTGTTCTCATCTCCCATCTCTTGTGGGATCACTTTTAGCCCCTGTGGTTCTTGGCAGTTTGAGCGTGAATGAGTTTGGAAATCATCCTGGAGGGGCAAAAGCCGTAGGGATGCTTTGTTCCAGGCTAGTCACTGCAGGTGCTTGGGGAAAGTTATGGAGAACTTGGGGAAACAAAGTAGTCAGTTAGGACATGTTAAGAGGGTCATCACCTGGAGGTGGGCAGGCTCTTCCCCTACAGAAGCTCTCCAGACTCTGCGGACCACTGAGGAATGGTTGTGGTTCCTGAGGACACCCTCAGCCCAGCAGCAAAGTCATCTGCAGTCCCAAGACCTAACTAAAAGTATCAGACCGATGGAAATAGACAGCTCAATAGCAGCTCCTGGGACCTGCCACTGGCTCTCTGTATCCCTAAGCCTTCTACCCAAGCCAGGCCATCCTAAACGCCCCATAGGAGGCAGAATCTGCAGTTTTCCAGCACAGCTGTGCAGAAATGAACCATTCTGCCACTGAGAATGTAGGGGGAAGTGAGCATCTCCAAGGAGAAATCAAAAAAACCCTTGAGAAGATGAATATTCTGTGTATGTGAGGCTCAAAAGTTCTATATACATACTAAATACAAAAATAAATACAAAAGTACTATATACATACTAAGTGCTGCTAGTGGGGAGGGGAGGGTGAAATCATTTTGCTGGAAACAGTGAAATGAGCAAGCAGGTGTTTTGTGTTGGATGCTGCTCCCTCTGGCTTGCTGCAGCTCTCCATGCTGAATGCTGCTGGGAAAAAGCTGGGGACCATGTGCATCCTCTCCACCCTTTGGGAGCTTTGTTTTGGAAGAACTTGGTTTCTTTTTGAATTCTCCTGCCCTAGTTCAACACTTCAGAGAGGAGTCAGCACTTCAAAAGAAGAAAAATAAATTAAAAAAAAAAATGTTTTGCTTTGAAACTATTCCACCTCATCATGTGCAAATTGAAGTCATACCAATGGTACAAATGGGCTTTGGATATTTTTCCTTGTGGATCACTTGGCAATCATGAGAGAAGCTCTCCTCTTGGTTTGCTTTTGTCCTGATTTGTAAGGACGTTGACTTTTTGAAAGCCTTTGCAAGATGGGATTGTGATCCCCCACAGCCTGGTGGGGGCTTCTGTCTCATGGCTGCCTTGCATCTGTTTTTTGAAACACCTTTAGATGTTGAACCTTTTCTTTCTAAACCCTTCCCAGAGGGTTCGCATCCCTCGTCCAGGCTGATCAACCTCTTGCTTGTTTGGGAAGTGTCTGCACAGGATGGTTTTCCCCTGCAGGAAAAAATGTGAGCTTACACATGGGGAAATGCTGATCTGGGGAATGGGCTGACCTGACTCACCCAGGGGATGCTGGGGTTGGGGAGACCATGCCATGCCCTTGAGAGACTGAGCATGCGATATAGGGATGACAGGGGACGTGGCTGCTGCTTGTGCATCACCCATCATTACCCAAGGCCTGAAGGGGTCTGAAGTGGTCCTGAGGTAATCTGTTGCCATGGGATGGATTAAATGTATGGTCAGACCTAGGGTGGTTTAGGGTTTTTCCTCATTTCCTACTTTTCCTCCAGTATCAGCTGCACCTGTGGGTGTTGCCTTGAAGGCTTTGATCAAGGAAGCTTGAAGCAGCCTGTGAATCAGCATGGGGAGCTCACAGCCACAGGTTCATCAGTCCCGAAGGCAGGAGGGCCTTTCTCCGCTGCAGTTCTCACAGCACTGGGGCAGCTTGAAGCTAAGAATGGGGTAGCACTTGGCCCACAGTGGTGAGCTCCAGCTCTACCAGGCCCTGAGCTAAAGATTTCTTACTGTGGTGATTGCATTTCCCAACCTGTCACACTCTACTCCCCTCTGTTGTTCCTGACTCAGACCTTGGCAGAAGCGAGATTTCCCAGAAATGGGACTGAGCAGGGAAGACACCATTTTAGAGGAAGTGCTGAGCAAGTGAGGATGCCTTTGTAAAGGGGCTCTGCTCCAGTTCCCACCCATTCTGAACTTCTTTCTCTTTCCTCTGAGCTGCCTGCACATGCATGATGCACCCATTCACAAGCAAAACTGAGATGGAGGGGAGGAGGAAGAGGTGGAGGGAGAGGCTCCCAGTTTGCCTATCCACACTGATTTCTTGCTGCCTTACTTGCAGCTATAGGTACGGATGTTGGCAGCTGCATGCTGGATCAGCCCAGAGCCTCAGCATGGAATGGACAGACACATCTGCAGATCAACAGGGAGCCATTTCCAGAGGGGGACCTGCTGCTCCAGGTACCGTGCCCTGGTTTGGTTGATGGGGTTGTCCATTAGCTCCTGCCAGACACAGTGTCTGGGCCCTGCCCATCAGAGTGCACCAGCAGCAGTGGGATGTGTGGTCCCAGCTGTAGAGCAAGAGGAGACCCTTTTTTGCCAGGAGGTGCTTCACTGTGATCTTTGCATCCTGAGCAGGCACTGAGCACCTCAGGAAGGGCACTGGAGGCACTGCCTGGCTCATTTTCTCTCATTCAGTTTGCTATGGCTTAGCTTACAGTGTGGCAGGTACCAATATGCAAGCTTGTCCATTCTGTCCAGAAGGGTGCAGAGGCATCACATACAGCAGTGTAGGGAATGATCCCAATGAATTTCCAGGGTGGTGCGTTCCTTATGCTCCAGAGGATGCCAAGAGAAGACAGAAGATAGCTGTGTGGTAACATGTCCACTAAGAATTGGTTTCCCTACACGAAGTCCCTGTCGTGAGTTCACAGCTGTCTGGAATGGAAGAACCCCAGGCTCGGTCTGAAAGTTGAGAGCAAAATGAAGAAAGATGGATCTGGGAAGCTATTGTGGACAAAATCAATGGACAGTGCAAGTTTGCCTTATGAAAAGGCCAGTGTATGTCAAGTGAAACAGCCCTCGCCAAGTGTCAGAGAACAAAGAGACAGGGATTCACCTGGCAGGAATGCTGCTAGCTCAGACTGCAATCTGTGAATGCGAGCCAGAAGGAAATGGCTCAGAAAAGTTCCTTAGAAAGGCTGTTTGCTGAATAAACACTTAGGCATCTCAAGTGAAAATATATGATGCTCCTTGTGGATACAGGGCAGGTCTGCAGAAGGCATTCGATCTTCGTGGCTTTAATCCTGATACCATGGCATCCTGTGCCTGTGCTTTTTGCATCTTGAGTTCTCCCATCTTTGGTGATTGGGCTAGATGATCTTAGTGGTCTTTTCCAATGTTAATGTCTCTACGATTCTTCATCTCAGATGTCTGCAAGTATGATAGTCACAGATGAATTGGAGGAATAACACAATAGCCAGAAGGGAGCCAGCAATTGCCCAACTCTCTCTGTGAGGCTTCTCCCAAGTGCTCTCCAGGAGTTTGAGCCAGGCCACATGATGGCTGGCAATTTGCTGAGCTATCAGAGCATTGGCAGCTGTGGATGATTGAAGGCATCTGGATAACATGTGGGATGTTAATAGGACCAAAATCCCTACAGCTGAGCTGCCCATTTTTTTTCCTTAAAAAGTATTTTATTCACATGTTATAATTTGCCAAAAGCTTTGACTCAGGGCTCGTTGGTGGGGGCTGCAGCACATGAATGGAAAGCACCAGTCTCCCTGCCTGCTGGATGTGCATCAAGCTTGATGTGTATCAAGCAAAATGCTTAAACCAACGGGTTTTAAAATAATCCAAGATAATTAAAATGATTTTTATTTTTCTGTCCTTTTATTCCATTGAGCAGCTGATTCTCTTTGTTCTGGAGCATCCCATCCATCACAGTGCACTGAGGATGAGCTGCAGGGTGGACCACGAGTTGTCCATTCCTGCTAGCTTCTGGTGTTAGCAGCTGGTCAACCTGTGGTCTGCTTTGTTTGTTGTCATACTAAGAAATCATGCTTCTACCGCTGTAGCAACTTGAAGTTGCCCTGAATTGCAAATTGGGGTAGAGGGAGTTACCCGAGCACACAGGAATCCTGCCAGCTCTCTGAAGGTTGCACTCATGTCAGGATTGCAAGGTTGGGGGAAAGAACTTTTGAGCCTCAACGTTCTTCATAGAGGTTCATAAACTGTGTGTGGTTCTGTGATTTGTTTTCCTGACCTCCAAGGATGTGACACAAATGACTACAAAGGCCGTTTTTAAGCAAGTAGCTACTGGTTGGTGTGTATTTAACTGCAGGCCATGTACATGCAATTGTAGAGTGGAAGGCAAAAAGTGAAGCTGGCAGTTGGTGTGAGCACAAAGATGTTTTACGGAGTTGATTTTTGTTTTCATTTCTTGCATGTGAAGCCTTGTCTTCTGTCAGCTGCAACATAGGCCGGAACAGAGGAATTTTTGCAGATTGGTGTCTCACAGTGGCACTTCAATGCCAGGATGTGTTCGGAGGCCTTTGAAAGTAGGGAGACTCCTGAGACATTAGTCATCAGAAACAAGACTAAAATCAAACGGGAAGGGACTGTTGTCCTGAGTAACCAGAGGCTGATTAGATGGGATGGCGTTAGCTCCTCGAAGACACATCGGTTTGCATGTCCAGGGCATGGGGGATGTCATGTCAGACATTGCAAATACAGTTGCCAGGGCCTCATCTGGGCTTTGGTTTTCCAGAGATTGTCACCTCTGGACTTTCAAAGTACAGAGTGGCTGCTATTTCCAGATGCTTGATGATATTTGAACAATAACAGCGGCTGAATTTGGTCTTTACTTCGTGTACTTCTTAGCTGATGCCTCTTAATACAGTATTTGCCCTGCCTGTATGTGAACACAGGTGATGTTTTACAAAATACAGTGGTTTACCAAAACGTCTAGGCTATCTCTGATCATTGCTCATGCTGACTGTGAGACCTCCCCACCAAATAACACCAACACTTTAAGATAGTCCAGCCAGCCAGCTGCTGAACTGAAGCTAAGGAGAGTAACTCTGGGCTCAATTTATACTTTCAGGCACTTAATGGGTTTGTCATCACTGTGTCTGAAGACGGCTACATCTTCTACGTCTCCCCTACCGTGCAGAACTATCTGGGCTTTCATCAGGTGGGTGCTATTTTCTCCTGAGTGTGCACACATGGATGCAGCACAGGCCTGGGAAGGAGATGCTGGCCAGCCAATGTCAGTGCTTTTTCTCTCCCTGCCCAGAATTTAGTCACTTCTGATGGATGTTTTCAAATGAGTTGTGTTCTTCAGGGGTTGTGAAAGCCAACAAATGTGCTTGTGAGCTTAGTAGCCACAGATGCAAACTGAGCAATGGCAGGCATTACATCCTTTCCTCTTTGTGAGAGGGGTGTAAACTATTCATCCCGTGGTGTCGTCCACCTTCACTGAGAGGGTGGGAGGGGTTATCACGGTGGTGAGCATCATCAGTGCCTGGAGGTTTATGTGAGGTGCCATAGAAAAAGAAGGTCTGTTTTCCCATTCACCCCATTATTTCTGATTCCTCTAAAGCTCAAAGGACCGAGTCAACAGGAACACGATGAGGCTACCAAACTCAGTTTTTTGTAGACAAAGCTGTGAGGTGGGCAGTGCTGATTCTTGGTTCAACAGCAGACTGATGTTTTCCTCTCTTTGCACCCTTTCCCAGCTCACTGTAGGAGGATCCTCCTGTGCAGGTGGGCCAAGTCAAACCAGCTGTCTGAGGCAGGGAGTGGTCTTCTTCTCCTGTACGTCTGGCTAAGCAGCAAGTTCTGTTTTGGCACATTTCTGAGGACAGGGACATGGCAGAGGATGGCCTGAGCTGCCTGTGTGCTCAGCAGGGCCACGACTTTGCAGGACCAGGCTGAGAAAGGCTGCTCCAAGACATGGCTATAGAAGAAGGGGTGTGTGTTGGGAGGTAGAAGGTGTGAGGAGTTGCTGGTGTTTCCTAGGAAGATGGTTTGCACCAGAACACTCCCACAGGCTTAGTCAAATGGTAGTTTCTGTTCAGGACAAGGATGGGTATTTCTAACGTGATGAAAAGAATTGAGGCAGAAACACCTCCAGGTTGCACCAAGCATGCGTGTGGTAACGATAGATACCTTCCAAGGGGATTTCTCCTGGTAGCAGTGTGTTTCAGGTCACTAATATCTGTACAGTTTCTTTCAGCATATACCCACTGGTTGTACTTGCACCTGGGACAACTAATAGTGCAGCTGCCCAGGCTCACTCCGCCTTCTTGGCACACCTTTGGTACCTGTGGCATGCTCTGGCACATGTTTTTTCACACAATAGGAAGTTGTAGGTTTTGCTCTGTTTACAAAAGTATTTTTCAGACCTCACCACTCTTCTGTTGTTCTCTAAACTTAAACCTCTCTCTGCTGCCTCATCAGTTGGAAAACGTGCCATTGCTTTAGGATGGAATGGAAAGTCTGTGTGTGGGCTGTGGGTCGGCAGCACAATCTATGACAGAGCCTGTTTGATCCCTGCCATTCCTAGTGGAGGTTCATCTGGTACATCTCCGTGCTGTGCTCAAAACCCTTTCTACCCATTTCTTTATCCTCAATAACTGTACTTTTACCACCCGCAAAGAAAAGCCAGGGGTCAGTACCTGTTAGGTGCTACCTGCTCTCCACGTTGTCTCATTCCAGTCGGATCTCATCTACCAGAGCATCTACGAGCTGATCCACAAGGATGACCGAGCTGCTTTCGACTGCCAGCTGCACAGCGGTGAGTGCTGGGCTGGGAAGTGTGGGCTCAGCCTTAGTCACCCCCAGAGAGGTCCAACCCCCACCTCAGGACCTGCCGTCCATCCATGGGAACCACTTGTGACCAGCAGCTGTGTGGTTTCCTCCAGCTCTGCAGTGTCCTAGCAGGTCTGTAAGGTGTGGCTTCATTTTCCACTTGTTTTTTCCAGCCGTTCCTGATGGATGCAGCGTTGCAGGAAGCCCCAATCACCAGTGCCCTGAGCGCTCTGGCTGCATGGAGAGGAACTTCACCTGCCGCCTGCGCTGCTTGCTGGCTAACTCCTTGGGATTTCTGGTAATGCCAGGATGCCTCTAAGCACTGGCATCACCCCTGGACACATTGCTGCATGCCTGTGTTCACTCGTGTCCCATGCAGACGTGAACTGGGGCAGTCTGGTTTCCAGCTCCTGTTTCCTCACCTTGCCTGCCTTGTTTTCTCATCCTTTGCAAGACCTTGAATTTCCAAGGACGCTTGAAACTTCTTCTTGGGCAGCAGAAGAGGGCATCAGACACGTCCCTGGGGCCTCTTCCACTCGCTCTCTTTGCCATCGTGACTCCCCTTCAGCCTTTCTCCATCCTGGAGCTTCAGAGCAAGGCGCTGTTCTTCCAGTCAAAGCACAAGCTGGACTTTACTCCCATTGCCTGTGATTCCTGGTATGGCATCTCCCACCTTCATCATGACAAAACCCGTGGCCACAAGTGCAGAACAGAAAGCCAGAGTGCCACAGGGTGCCCATGCCTTGTGCTCTGCCCTCAGGGGAGAGGTCATCCTGGGCTACACAGAGGAGGAGCTGTGCAGTACAGGGTCTGGGTACCAGTTTTTGCACGCAGCCGACATGATATACTGTGCAGAGAGCCATGTGAGAGGTGAGTGCTGAGGGGAGCAACCTAGGGAGGGACACTGGGGCTGTGGCAAGTCTGTGGGCTGGCAGCTGTGCAGCCCTGGCCGTGCTCCCTTGTGTTCCTGAGGTCTGCAGGAGCTGTGATGAGGTGTCCTGCTTGATACCTGCACAGGAAGCTGGTAAAGTGCCATCCTATGCAGGGGCACCCTGGCATGCAGCACGGTGTGCCGGCTGCAGTTTTTGCTTTTGTGCCTAGGCACAACTTGCCCATGCCCCTGCGGTGCCCAGCTGAGTCTCTGTGCCACCTCTCTTTTCTCCCTGCCCCAGTGATAAAGACAGGGAAGAGTGAGATATCAGTCTTCCGGGTGCTGAGCAAGAGGGGCACCTGGGTGTGGTTGCAGTCCAATGCCTGGCTGGTGTACAAAGGGGGTGAGCCTGACTGCATCGTCGCCCAGCAGCGAGTCCTGTCGTGAGTATGGCTGGGTTTCCAGCTGCGTCCCCTCGCCCAGGGTCTTGGACAAGTCTGCGAGCTCCCATCTTGCTGCTTGGAGGCTGGTCCTGCCTGGCCTGGGGAATATACTCATTGTGTTTCCCTCTCTTTTTCCTCCACTCTGAAGAAACGAAGAAGGGGAGGAATGTTTGCGAAAGCGAAGCCTTCAGCTGCCTTTCAGCTTTGCCACAGGGGAAGCGATCATATATAGGAAAAAGTCCAATTTCCTAGGCTCCTTTCAGGCTAAGGAGGAATTTCAGACAAAGACAGACACCCATACAAAGCAGCATGCTGTAGATTCCAACTCTATTCTGGGGACCACGATGGAACAGGATGCATCCATCTCTCTCTCCCATGCTGATGTCCCTCAGTTCACCTTGCGAGATCTCAATGCTGAGCTTGAGGGACCAAGCCAAGATGGAAAAGCTGGTCATGACAAGGACAGCAGTTCCTTCCTGGTGGATATTGAAACCCTCTTTGAGAAGAGTGAGGTGGATGGAAACGTATCCCAGAGCCTCAGCATGGACAGTACAGAGCTACAGCAGTGGGAGGACACTCTGCTTAGCTTGTTCGTGGAGGACCTGCCACCTGAGGACTTTGGTGAGAGGCTGAGCAGTGAGTTGCCCTCTTACATGGAGCAGATGCTGTTCAGGGAGCGTGATGGAAAGAGCATGGAGTTCATGCACTGCAGTGAGGAAGGGTGTTATGTGGCTCAATTCCAGCACTGGGGATTTAATCCAGAAGTCCCACAGCAGCCCCAACCAGCTGGTGCACAAGGCCAGGATGTTGTGCCCTCTCTGGACTCCGTTATGTCAGAGGGCAGCTCTGCTCCAGCAGAACAGCAGATCCTGATTAACCCAGCCAGTCTGGAGGAGAGGATGCTTCTGGATGCCTTGGGCTCCAGCACCAAGCCCTGTACAGAGGATCAGTTGGTCAACTCAGGACTGGAGTTTCAAGTAGGACTTCCCTCCTCTATTCCCATAGACACCATCATTCCTGATTGCCAGAGCCAGTCTGAGTGCACTCTGATGGGCTTGAGCTGCTCACCTCCCTTGGACTCCAGCACTATAGTGTCCCAACAGCATGATGATGTCCCAGTATGTGCAAACCTGGGCAGCACTTTGGGCCAGAGCACTTCCCCAGGAGATTGCCCACTGGATGCTTGGATGGCAGCTCCAAAACAGCTGGGAGCAACAGGAGCGTCCTTGGAATCACAAACTGCACTGACCAGCAGCTCCCAGAGCTGGGGGAGCTTCCCCAGAGAGTCCCATTGCAATGGGAAGCAGGTGCTCAGCAGGGACGCGTGGCCCCAACCTCAGGGACTCGTGCTAGGGGTCAGTGGGGGCCCTGGCACGCATCAGACAGACAACATCATGCTGCGTCACTGTGAGTACAGAATGAGGCAGGGTGTCTTCAGGCACAGGAACTCCTTTCTTGGGGATGCCATTAAAATACCTACAAGTGCTTTACCTTGCACAAACCACCCTGGAACACTGACAGGATTGAGTTTGAGTTGCTCAGCATCTCACTTTGCAGAGGTGGGAGTGAGGACATCCTCCTGTGAGCCAGCTGCTGTCTTTCCACTGTCCTCCTTGGCAGGCAGGCAGCCCCTCTGTGCATGCAATGTCCAGTGAAGGTGTGTGGTGGGGACTGCAGGACCTGAGGGCCAGTGGGGGGCATCTTTGGAGAGACAGTGGGGTGAGGTAACTGCAGCTGTGTGCACAGTGAGTGAACCCAGGGAGGGAAAGAGGTGCTTCAGACCACAGGGATGGCTCCTTCCCCTGGTTTTCTCCCTACCTTTACCCATGCCATCAGATGGAGGATGGTGTGTTTTTTTGCCAAAGCAATGAGAAAGGCATCAAGGGAGGCAGCGCTTGCCGCCTGCCTCTGTGCTTAGGACCGATTCTGTGGCTTTAAAATTTGTTTCTGAGACAGAGCTCCATCAGCCCTCCATCTATCCTTAATAAACCAGATCCAGGCAGGGATGCTGCAGGATGCCCTGTGGCCTCGGCAAGTCATCAGCACTGGGTGGGATGATGCTGAGCTGTAGAGTGCAGGCAGCAGAGCGATGCTGGACCCTTCTGCAGCAGCCTGGAGAAGCAGCTGATGTGAGCCTTACACATTGACCAGCCTCAAACCTTGCAGTGATCTGCCACTGGGGGCTGCAGCAGACCCCTGCTGCTCCATTGCTTGCATGTCGACTGTGTGCGTTATGTCTGTGCATCCGTGGATTGTTTTTGTGGCAGTGTCTCATTTTCCACTCTGTGATTTCTTTGTATGTCATTCACCAGCGTCAGGGCGGAAGAAAAGATGGACTGCAACTCACTCACTGCACTTTGTTGTGTATTAAAATGTGGTTTGTATTAAAAAGTGGTGTGACAGTTTGTTTGATGGGGCTCTGGGCAACCTGGTCTGGTATTAAATGGGCAGGTTGGTGGCCCTGCCTGTGTTGGGGGGGTTGGAGGTCCTTGGAGTCCCTTCCAACCCGGGCCACTCTGTGACCTGTGACCTCGAACAGCATCTCTCCGTTTCCCTCTCAGCTGAGCAAGTACTTGCGGAAGCTGCTCAGTTTTTCTCTGGGCTAAGGCTGGAGGAGGAGGGTCCTGGCCCATCCCCTGCGTTTTCTATACAGAACTGCAGACTGGTTTGGGTTGGCAGGAACCCCAAAATCCACCCAGCCCAACAGACTGCCCAAAGCCCCATCCTGCCTGGCCCTGAGCGCTGCTAGGGAAGGGGCATCCACAGCTTCTCAGGGCAGCCTCTGCCACGGCCTCACCTGCCTCGTAGTAAAGAATTTCTTCCTTCTGTCCGATCTGAACCCAGCTTTCCCATAGCCCTTGCCGGTACAGAAGAGCCACGGCTTGCTCTGCCCGCAGCCTTCCCCAGGCTGACCGAGCCCAGCTCCCAGCTTCGTTCCACGCACACACGCCGTACCCACGCTGCCGCCCGGTCCCGGTGCCCACCTCCTCCCCACCCGCAGCGTCCCCGCGTCCCTCCCTCCTTCCCAGCCGGAGGCGGAGCCGCTCCTGCGGGGGTCTCTCCGGGCTGCTCCTCGCTGCCCCGTTCCTCTCCTGCGGCTGCCGCCGGCTCTCGCTGAGCCATGTACGCGGGGCGCAAGCGGAGGAAGCCGGCGGCCCGAGCGTAAGTGCGGAGCGGGGTCAGCGATGGGAACGGGACCGGGAGCGGGATCAGGGTGAGAGATAGGAGCGGGGCTGGGAGCGGGATTGGGATCAGGGATGAGAGCGGGGCTGGGTTCGGGACGGAGGATGGACGGTGCCGGTTCCGCGCCGGCTCCGCGGTAACGCGTGGCTGCACCCCGCAGGCTGCACGCTGCAGACACCGGGCGCTCCAACCCTTCCAAGCGGCACCGGGAGCGGCTGAACCGGGAGCTGGAGCGGCTGGCCGCGCTGCTGCCCTTTCCCGAGGAGGTGGCGGCCGGTCTGGACAAGCTGTCCATCCTGCGGCTCAGCGCCGCTTTTCTCCGCGCTAAGAGCTTCTTCCGCGGTGAGTGCCGCTGCGGCTCGGGGCGAAGCGGGCTTCGGGCGCGGCGGAATCAGGGCGATGTGCGGAGATGAAGTTGGTTCTGTCTGTGGGTTGCACTGAAGTAGAAAACTGGCGCTTGGGCTGGAGGGCACGGCTGAGAGGAGGCACTGTGAGAGCGGCTTTTCCCGTTGTAACGGACCTGAGAAATGCTCGGTGTTTGACAGTGGATAATTACCGCGGTGTGGTTAGAGTTTATTTGGGAGCCTTTTAAAACACACCACACTAAATACCTTCCTTCGTTCTGCCGCTGTAGTTAACAGCCCATAGGAGGAGTGTTCGGGCAGCCCTGCGCTACGCTGGCCAAACAGCAGCAGCTATCGGTGACCTCACAAAGGATATTTTTCCAACTCCAAATCACTGAATGAATGGGAAGTCTTTTTTTTTTTTCCTTTTTCTTTTTTTTTCCCATTCTCTTTCGAGCACGGTGGAACTGGCAGGCGGATGGAATGAAAAATTAATGGCCTGAGAGAGCAGTTGTTTGCTTGGCAGCTCCGGGTCGATTTGTTTGTTTGACCGTATCGCCCACAGCCTTCGTGCTGCTTTGCCCTGCTAAGGAGCCGTGCTGGGGCAGCCCACGCTGCTCCATACTGCCCACATCCACCTCCACAGAACCCAATGTGGAGCCTCAGACCCATCGTGGTGATGCTGGGGGCTGTGGGAGCACTGCTGCTCTCTCAGGAGTAACGGTGTGTGGTGCAGTGCAGGCTCACTGCTCTCCTGAAACATGAATCATTTAAAGACTTGTAGGATTTATAGACCGAAAGGGTGGTCGGTTCTTCCTTAGAGCAGTTCTGAAATGGCTGCTCTTGTCGTGAAGCACGGCGGCAGAGGTTGGGGTGTGTGGAGTTGGCCTCCTGTGCGGTGTGACGGGGCGCTGTGCTGGGGAAGGGAAGCAGGGGCTGACCCTGGGGCCATGAGCAGCCATCCCAGCTCCCTGCCTGCAGCCCGACATCCCGATGGCATTGGTAAGATGGGTACCTTGGTGAGCAGAGTGAGAAACTGGGAAATCCCCTGCTTTGAGCTTCTCTCTTTCTTTATTTGCCTTGGTCATTCCATGCGGTTTGATTTCATCTTCCCAGCAGCCGAGCCACCCGTGTGCCTGAAGCTGTAGGACCGGCTGCCCTGCTTTAAGCCAGGTCACAGCAATTCAGGTGTAAGAGGGGAAACCCTCCTCCTTTGGGATGCACATAGTGCCTGTGGATCCAGCTGAAGCTCTCCTGCTGCTTAAAAAACAAATAAATAAAACTCCTGATTTAAGCAGTTTATCTAACAGGAGCTCTGAGAAAAGCAGCCTACAAAATTGGGTGATTTCAGAGCGTCTTCAGTCCCTTTTGATGTGAATGCAGAGTGATGCCACTCTAAGAAGCCGTGTGAGATGAAGCTCACCTTAGAGCAGCTTCTGCAGTGCTCCTCTTCAAAATACACAGCCTATTCCCTCCTCGACTTCTATTGTTTGGTTTACTGATAGCAGGCAGCCTGTCCCACAAGTGGATCAATCAGTGCACCAGCAGGTTTCTGCCAGCTGCCATTTCTCCAGCCCCCTTCTTAAATAATTCACTGCAAGCCAGGAATGCTGTCGTCTCCAGGCTGTTGTTTCTCCCAACCTATTTGAAAATCAATTACTATTAATTTTATTTGAGTATCTTGATCTATACATAGATGGTCACCATCACGCTGCGCTCATCCCTTCAGATCCATGTCCTGTTGCCAGGAATCACACCTGGGGCTTTGTGAACTCGCGTGGTGTTTCCAGAGATGCAGACCCTTTGGGGAAAGCCATCCAGCCCAGCCCTGCTTCATCCCACATCCCATCCAGGTGGTACTGCACTAAACCCAGCACCGCTGGCCAGGTCCAGGAGGGTGGGACGGAGCTGCAGTTGGCTGCCACCATCACGTGCCAGACCCCAGCTTCACCTCGGGGACACCCGAGGGGCAGCACATGATGTGTCAGCTTAGCCTGGTGGTGCCTGGCTCCCCTAATCCCTCCCCTTGGGCCCAGCTCCTGAGGAGCCAAGCCCTGGGTGCAGGCAGGTGGCCCGCGTCAACCCGTGGGACAAGAGGTTTGTCCTGGAGGGGGCACTGCGAGGGTCTGCAAAGCTATTTCCAAACAGCAGGAAGCGCAGCTTTCTCTCCGCGTGTTACAATCAGGATGGAGGGAGTCTTTACCCTCTGTTGCAATGCCTAAGATCAACCAGCATGAGCAGTCTTCCAGCACTTCAGCTGCGGGCCATGTTCCCAAGCCTGAAATGGTGCTTCCTTGTTTCCTGGAGCTTAGAGAACCATACAATGGGATGGGTCAGAAGGGACCCCAAAGCCCAGCCATACAATGGGACTGGTCAGAAGGGGCCCCAAAGCCCAACCATACCATGGGATGGGTCAGAAGAGACCCCAAAGCCCAGCCATACAATGGGATGGGTCAGAAGGGACCCCAAAGCCCACCCTGCCTGGCCTTGAGCACTGTGAGGGATAGGGCATCCACAGCTCCTCTGGACAGCCTGTGCCAGCGCTCTGAGTAAAGAATTTCTTATATATATCCACTCCAAACCTGCCCTCTTTTGGTTTAAAGCCATTGCCCCTTGTCCTGCCACTGTTTGAGTGTGAAGGATTGTCATTACTTGAAGGACTGTGATTTATCAGCATTACAAGGGTTAGAAGAGCTGCAAAAAGAAGTGACAGCCTGACACACCACTGTCCTCTTTGTCCTTGTTTAAACCTGTGCACGTGCTCTTCCTTTGAGACCAGTGTGCCTTCAGTGGTGCAACAGGGATGTGTAGATGAGGCCTTCCTTGCTTTTAGATGTGCAATTAGATCTTTTAGCAGGACATTCATTATTCACCACGCCTGGTTACAGAACTTGCTGCCTCTGCACCGTTCAGACAAGGGATAAATAATTAATCTATTTAATGAAATTTGTGCCAACGGGGATCTGTGGTAGGTATTATAAGTAAAACTGTTGTATCCATTAAGAATAAGTGTGGCTTTTTGCCTTAAGTGATGCCAGCCAGGAGGCTGGGCATGAACTGTTGCTGCTCCTGAAGAGCCATGAGGTGGTTGAGTTCTCCTCTGCTTCTCCTGTATCAACCCCAGGGCTGGATTTCGGTCTGAGTCTTCTTGTTTTTAAGCTGTGACCGATGCAAAATCTTGTTTCCACTCGAAGGTTTTGCCTGCATGGAAGAAAGGGAAGGGGGCTGGGATATATCCTCTCAAAAATGTTAATACCAGCTTGCTGGTGCAGAGATTTCTCAGGTCTGCAAAGCCCCTGCAGGTTCAGGAGTTCACCAGTGAGGTGTCCCTTCGGCCTCCCGTGAATCATTTCCCCAGGCTGAGCATGCAGAAGGACCCCCAGCCCTCCCTCCTGTGCCCAAGGACCACTTCTTTCAGGTTGCAATCTCTCCTCACCTTCCTCGGGAGGCTGATGTGCAGTGAGGCTGATGTCCTGGCCAAGAGCAGAACATCTCTGGGGCTCTGAGGATGGTCTGGAAGGTCATGAAAACCCTCATGGGGAATGCAGGATGGTGGCTGGGTTCAGTGGCAGGTGTTGGTACAGAGGACAATGTACCATCTGATTTTAACTGATGTGTCCTTTGGTCCCATAGCTTAGGAGCAGCCCAGATGCCAATAGTGAAGTCTATATTTATGCAGTGTTTGTGATTCAAGACCATTACTTGCAAGTTTTCTTTCTGCTGGCAAACACAAAACCGTTAAACCAGACCTCAGCAACCCTTGACTCTGTTCTCCACCAGGTTTATATTTGTCTTGCACCTCCAGCGTAGCCATCTGGAAGCTGCCAGAGGAGGAGAGGAGACCTTCAATAATTTATAGCCCCTGCATTTTACTCACAGAGACGAGAAGAGTCGATCCATTCTCCTTGCTGGGAGTTTCTGCTGTGCCTGCAATGCCCAGCTTGTTCAGGCTGCATAGCATGGGTGCTGAGGGCTCCTTGCAAGGGGTGGACAGAGGCATTGAACCCCCTGGGACAAAGGACCTCTGTGGCCATCACTAAATGATGAGGGAACTTCCAACTGATGAGCTCACTGAACATGTGGATTTTTTTGCATGGAGTGCAGGATCTCATGGTTACTCCACAGATCACAGAATCACAGAATGGCCAGGGTTGGAAGGGACCTCAAGGATGATGAAGCTCCAACACCCCTGCCACAGGCAGGGCCACCAACCTCCACATTTCATAGCAGCCCAGGCTGCCCAGGGCCCCATCCAGTGTGGCCTTGAATACCTCCAGGGATGGACGGGGCATCACAGCCTTTCTGGGCAGCTGTTCCAGCAATTATACCTACTTCTTTTAATGATCTTTGGCTTTAACTGCTCTTTGCTTTGGGTTTGTTAAAGGTATGGAAATGAAAAGGAGAAAAAGAGGATAAAAGAGGAACTCTGGAGTTCTGGAAAGGCAGGGGAAACGTCTTTGTTCTGGCTGCTTGTGGCGGTGACTTGGAGGTGTTACTGCAGCACTGATGTCCCTTCACTGTGCTTTGCTGCAGTTGCTCTGAAGAACCACGGTGCTGAAGGAGCAGAGAGGGATGGAGACCATGAGAGCAGCCCAGCTCTGGGCATGTCAGCAGTACCGGAGGGCGAGCTGCTCCTGCAGGTCAGTGGTCCTCTCCATGGCAGATGCCTTCAAGAACTTTTTCCTTGGGTCCTCTTTCCTTTGAGATTTGCCCAAAGAACAGGCTGTTGTGTTCTCAGTTGCAAGACATTTTGGTGAATGCTGTGATGAAGGGAGGACGCCGTCTGCTGTCCCACTGGTGCAGTTGTTGGTCAGTACAGTGGTTACAGGACTTACTGCAGTAATTTCACTCACAGTGGGTGTGTTTGAGCAGAGTTTATGACTCTTTGGATCCCTGGGGCAGAAAGGGAGTGTTGCCTCTCCTTTTCTTTTCCTGGAGCAAGTCGCTGTGGCCCTTATGCTCAGATGAGGATGCTCACATGCCTTTATGCATGGGGTGCATAAAGAGTCACGCTCCAGCACCACGAGGTCCCACGAGGACACAGTCCCCCTGTTCCTCTCTACCTGGTTCCCAGCCTGGCTGTCATCTGGCACCTACCCAGAAGCTCACTCAGCAGTAATTATAATTACTGTCCTGCCTGATTGCTGCAGAGCCAGGATCTTGGTGTCTGGGGAGAGAAATGCTAAAGCCAAGCTGGTTAATCATGAAAACCTCGAGGGCTTTCTGCTGTCAAAACACAGAGTTGCGCTCGGAAGGGTTGATGCCCTGCTTATCAGGCTCCTCCTCAGGTTGGATGCTGCCTTTGTAGAGGCACCAAGCAGGGTGTGAACAGCTCCATTTTAGTCTCATCCAGGGCTGAGGGATGCGGCTGGGCTTTAGGACTGAGGACTGGGTGCAGCATCCTCGGGTGTGCAGCCATGCAGGTGCATATTGCCTCCAGTCTGCCTCTCTCCAGCACCATTGAACAAGGACAGAATGCTGCCAGACTGTGCTCACCAGCACACGGAGGAGGCCATGCCTCCGGGGCTGCTCAAAGGGTTAAAAAGCGTTTGGCAGCACTAATTAACCTCTGCAGCAGATTCCCACACACTGAGGTCAACCCAGTAAATAGAGAGAGCATTTGTGCCTGGGATAAAGGGAAGGAGAGGGGGGAGAAACACGGACCTGGACAATGAAATGGGAATTGGCAGCAACAATAGCCAGACTTGGCTGAGACAACGCGCTAGACTCTAATTGATCCTGATGTCTGTGGATAGCCAAGTGGGGGAAGTGGGACGGGGCTGGCTGCCCTGCCTGCAGCCAGATTTTGGGATCCAGGAGGACCTGGTGTCCTTAGGGACAGGTGGCTGGGTGATGGTATCAGCTCGTGAGAGCTCTGTGAGGGCGCTCTGACTTCTGGATGCTAAAGCTGTCCAGGACAGCAACTGCGCGGTCAAACCTATGAGGCAACTCCTCTGCACCTTGTGATCCTCACAGATCTCCAGGGGCAAGGGACACTGGCCCTGGTCCCTCCTCCTGCCAGCCTGAGGCTGCTGTCTCAGAGAGAACACCCAAATTACCACCCAAATGTGTTAAGCTGGTAGGAAAGAGCCCTGCCTGGGGAGGACAGAGGCTCTGAGCAGCTCGGCCTGGGAATGCAGTGTTCCCTTAGATGTTGGTTTTGCAGTCCTGCAGCTACTGGAGTGGACAGAAGGGCCACTGAACTGTAGAGTATGCATAAATAAATAAATATTTAAAAATACAAATTAACTTTGGCATTAACAACGCCAAAGTTTGGTCCTGCTGCTGTCACGCAGTACTGCCGCGGGGCGATTCCATGTAAGCAGAGTGGGCAGAGCCCATGTGGGTCCTTGGCACCTGGGGGACGTGGAAGGGGTGTGAAAGCAGCAGGCACTGCCAGCACGCTGGGATATGTAGCGTGTTTGTTCCTCACTGCACATCCCCTGTCTTCATTCCCCCAGCTGCCAGGATCCTCCCTGGTCTGTAGGAAGGATGGGAACTATGCAGGCAGAGCCACAGAGGCAGACACAGGTCAAATTTAATGCGGCCAATGTGAAATGCCACATTGATCCCCTGTTGTCAGAAAGGCACTTTTCCACCAGGATTCCAGAATGGATGGGGTCCTCAATGTATCTGGTTTCATTCTGCAAGTCATTGTGAGATTTGTGCTTGCTCTTTGCATAGGATGTGGATAAATGTCTGAATCTGAGCTGCTAGGACAGGGTGATGTGGGTAGAGCTCAGCTGCTGACCTGCTCTCTCTCCTAGGCACTCAATGGCTTTGTGCTGGTGGTGACATCGGAAGGGCTGATCTTCTACTCCTCGCACACCATCCAGGACTACCTGGGATTTCATCAGGTTCGTGGGACACCCCTGAATTGCAGTGATGGGTTTGGAGGGCCATGTGGGGCTTCACATACAGGGAAGAAGGCAAGGAGAAGTCTGTGCTGCTGGGTGTCCTGGCCCTGCTACCATCCCTTCTTTCTGCAGGCTCAAAAATCCCAAAGGGAGCAGGAATGAGACCTACAACAGGGGAAGCCTTTTGCCCTCCCTATGGGTTCAGTGGCTTGGGAATTTGAGATGTGAAGTGCCCCTGCTGTACCGAGCTCAAAGCAGAGGGATTGAAGCGTCTAAAAAATGCTGTGCTTTTTGTGCCCTAAACCAGTCCAACGTCAACTCTGGTGGGGAGTGTCCAACCCCACTCAGCTAGAGGCCTGAGCACAGGGAGACGTGGTGGGATATGGCCAACAGCAGGGGCTGGGGCAGGCCATGTAGCTCACTCAGATGTTTTTTTCTCTAGACAGATGTTATGCACCAGAGCATCTTCAAGCTGATCCACACTGAGGACCACCAGGAATTCAGGCGCAACCTCCACTGGGCCTTCAACCCACCCCAAAGTGCTGAGGGTGAGCCCTCTCCTGAAGGTACGTGTAGGCACGAGATGCTCCATTCCCCACAGGCACTGGGGAAACAGCTCCCAGCTGCTCCCAGTTTGCATCCTTGTGGCCACAGATTCATCCAAAACACAAAGCATAGCTTCTGCCGATATGTCCCACAGAAGCTGTGGTCCACGATGCTGCCCTTGCTGGGGACCACCACCCTTTGCTGAGGACTGGGACTACCAGCCTTTACTGCTTCCCCAACCCCTCTCTCCTACAGGGAGGAAGAGTCTCAGCTTTCCTGCTGTTGCCTACAAGCCTGATCAACTGCCCTTGGAAAACTCTTCCTTTCTGGAAAGGAGCTTTGTGTGCAGGTTTCGCTGCCTCCTGGATAATTCCTCTGGCTTCCTGGTGAGTGCAGGTCTGTAGCAGGCTCATGCTAAGGGATGATGGAGCGTGAAAGTTGACATTGAAAGGGTTGAAACTCTTTTCTGCCTGCCTCAAGAAGGGGATTTTTCTGCTTTTTTTGTGTGTGTTTGTGTTTGGCCTGCACCTCTTCCTGTGGATTTTATTCCTGTCCTCTCAGTAGCACTGAACCTTGAACAGATGTTCTGATTATCCGTCACTAATAAGCAATGCTTCTTGGTGGGCTTGAGGTGTAGCTCACGTCAAACAAAGAGCAGCCCATGCATGATGTGATGCGTTGATGCAATTGCAGCATCTGGGTTATCAGTGATGAGCTGCTGTTGTGGGGAGACCAGCATAGCATTCTTTTAAGCCTCCCTCTGCACCCATCAGGGAACAAGGAGGCCACAAGGAGCAATACTCCTGGACCTGTGGTGTTATCCTGGCCTGGGCAGTGTCAGACTCATACAGAGTGGGTGTGTATCTCCTTTGTATGGAGGTTCACTGCTCCTGCTGGGCAGCCTCTTTCTCCTGGGGCTTGGTTCTTTGCATCAATTCTGCAGCAAGATGGCTTGTTTCCCATGGAGCTCTCCTCCCTCTCTTTCCCTCCACTCAGCAATGTGTGTGACACTGGCCTTATCTTCTCTTTCTAGGCTTTAAACCTTCAAGGCAGGCTGAGATTCCTTCACGGGCAGAACAAAAGGTCTGAAGATGGGTCTGCGCTGCCCCCGCAGCTGGCTCTTTTTGCTATCTCCACCCCTCTGCAGCCCCCATCCATCCTGGAGATCAGAACCAAGAACATGATCTTCAGGACAAAGCACAAACTGGACTTCACTCCCTTGGCATGTGATGCCAAGTAGGTGGCAGAGCTGATCTGTGGGGTGATGCTGTGTGCCTCCACTGTGCTGGTTCGTGCTGAGCCCGGGTGATGTCCCACCTGGACCTGCCACTGAGCTGGGTGCATTCTCCTGTAGGGGGAAGATTGTTTTGGGCTACACCGAGGCAGAGCTGCGGATGTGTGGCACCGGCTACCAGTTTGTCCATGCTGCTGACATGCTCTACTGTGCCGAGAACCACATCAGAAGTAAGTGTCCTTTTCCCTTTATGCTCACCTCTGAGGCCAAAGCTCCCTTGGTAGCTGTTTTGAGCCAGGTAGCTCTTTGTCCATAAGACGCTTTGCTTTATGCCTTGCTGCAATGCTCTTGGTAGCGAGTAGGGAGGTGCATCTAGCCAGGGAGGCATGTTCCCTGCTCATGGAGCCAGCCAGGGCATCCTTCTGTTGTGACTCTACCTGCTTATCCCTGCTGGCAACAGCAGCATTGCTTGAGGCAGTCCTGCCTGAGGTGATGTGCTGATGGGCATCAGCATCTGTGCTTCCTCCCGGCAGTGATGAAGACAGGGGAGAGTGGCCTGACTGTCTTCCGCCTGCTGACAAAGGACAAGCACTGGAAGTGGGTGCAGGCCAATGCACGGCTTGTCTACAAGAACAGCAAGCCTGAATACATCATCGTCACACAGAGACCCCTTGTGTGAGTGCATTTGTTTGTACATAAGCACACCTGTGTGTGCATGCATCGGTGCGCATGGGCTGGTTGTAGTAAAGGGGCCTGGGATGACACAAATTGCAATTCTGCATTGCAGAAGCAGTTTACAGCAGGTGCTTGTACATGTGCAAACAGCGGTCTCCTCTTCCTCCCCTGCAGAGATGAAGAAGGAGGAGAGCACCTTCGGAAACGATCCATGCATCTTCCCTTCACCTTTGCTACAGGAGAAGCACTCTTATACCAAAGTGCTTTCCCTCTCCCGGGCTTCTGTGATGCTTTCCAGAGCAAAGGGAAAATCAGCAAGTCCAAGAAGACCTCACACAGCAATGGAGGATGCTCCCAGAAGGACAGCATTGCCCCTGGTTCTCTGCTGAGTGCTGTACTGCAGCAGGACAAGGCAGCATATGCCCCCCAGCCAGCTCCTTCACCCAACCACACCTTCAACAGCAGTTTCTTGGCCCACCTCGAGGACACGTCCTCCCTGGGTGCAGGACGGGCTTGGAGCACAAGCACCGCTCCAGTTTCCTCAAGGAAGGACAGCCTCAAAGAGGAGTGGGTGCATTTGCAGCAGGAGGACCCTCTCTTGGCCACCTTGAACTCCTTGACAATTAACAGCGACGAGAGCTGCTCCAACAACGAGCTCTTCAGTGCACTGGAGAGCCTGGGGCTGAACGCTGAAGACCTGGAGCTCCTGCTCCTGGATGAGAAAATGGTGATGGTCAATACAGACCCCGATCACACTCTGTCCCTGAATGACTTCCTCACCAGCAACGAGATCCTCTCCTACATCCATACCACGCCGGGGAACAAGCACAAGGAAGACCTACAGGCTCGTCCCCTGGCAGGCACGACCTCGAGCCCACTGGGATGCTCTGCTGCATACCAGGCCCACGCAGAGGCCAAGGACTTGCAGTACCCATCCCAGCAAACACAGCAGCCTGGCACTGTCGCAGGCCAAACTGCTGCTCTGCTATGGGAGCATCCTCTCTATGATGCGCTGGCACAGCAGTCCCCGCTGCCATTGAAGCCGACGGAGGCCGAGCTGCCTGCAGGCCTGCAGAGCAGAGGCGCTGGGGAGGAGGACCTGCTCCGCTTCCTGCATCTCTCTCAGGTCGCTCCGTGGACCGTAGCTCCCAGCTCACACCTGGGAGCCCCGCCGCAGGCTCAGCAGCTGGACGGTGACTTCCCAGCTGTGCATCCAACCCCAGAGGATGTTCTCCAGACTTTTTCCCTGCCTGGCCCGGGCCGAGGACGTGGGGCAGCACCAAGCCAGCCGAAACACAAAGCCGGCCGGCGCTTGCTGATGAACAGGCTGTGTGCCCACCATCATCCCTCTGCTCCACGCTTCCTCCCCACCAGCAGCAGCAGCAGCCCCTGGCAGGACTATGTCTCCCCTCTCCTGACATCCTCAGCTCAGCCTGATTTCTATGGCATCAGCCAAGACTTGATCTGCCAGCGTCAGGACTACTTGGGTCCAGTGCCTGGGCCTGCCGTGCCAGCACTAGGCTCCAGTCTGAATGGATTATGCAGCATGGACGCTGTAGACTGTGAGAGGTCCCAGGAGGAGATGGTTCCCTACTCCGGGCTTTTCCCATCTTCCTCATACCAGCTTGTTCCTGAGACGCATCCAAGCTCTATTCCCTCCATGTACCCTTTCCTGAGCTCATCTGCAGAGCACTTTGGAAGCACTGGCGGTGTGCTGGAGGCTCCAGCAAACTCCTATGAATTGTACACCTCCATACTGAGCCAGGAGAACAGCCACAAGGTGAAGGTTTCTCTTTGCACTTGAGCTCATATTTTCTGTGCTGGGATTTCCTGGGGGGTCTTAGCACAGGAAGGCATGCACTGCCTGTTTGGTAGGCAGGAATCACCTTGCTCTGCCACTCTGCGGTCAGAAAAAGGACTTCAGGGGCTTTTCTTTGCACCAAGCATTGCAGAACGGAAGGTCAGAATGTGGATTTTTCCCTTTAGACCTTGGCTGTCAGGGGTATGGTATGGTTTCCGTATGCTTTGTCCTTTCTATGGCATATTCCAGCCATGCGATGTTAAGCTTTGATGGGTGGTCCATATGAGATGAAGATCTGCTATTTTACAGTACAGACAGTGTTGTCTAAATGCTTCTCAAACTCCAGCAGGTTTGGTGCCATGACCAGTGTCATGACCACTGCCCTGTTCCAAATGCAGAGCGAGAGCCTGTAATTTACAGATATGTTTAATGAGTGAACTGTGGGGCTGCAATACATGGTCAGCTCTGCAAAGGTTGATTATGAAGTCAGTGGGTGAAAATTGGTGTCCACTGGGGAGTATGGATGGACTTGCACTGCTTTCAACCTTGTCAATGTGAGCTGGGGAAAGGTGTGCAACAAGTACAGGGATTCTGCTGATCCCCTGCACCTCCAGGGGAAGCAATACAGGATCTTCCCCTCCCAGCAGCATCCCCTGGGCACCCAGCCCATCAGTGTCAGTAAAACACTACAGAATACTTCACCACTCTCTTTCCTCTCTCTTCTCCTAGCCTGACAGCAGCTGTGTTTTGCCTGGCTCTCGCACGGGACTCCCTACAGATGTGCCAAAGGGCAGCCCTGCTCCCCCCTGCAAGCTGCATCCCCATGCAGAAGTGCTGCCGGATCACCCCCACACTTTCAGTGGTGACTTCTATCTCTAGGAGAACAAGATCAGAGTGGGCAAAGTGGGATTATTCACTGGGAAAGGAGCTGCCCTCCAGCTGCAGACAACAGACCTTCCCCCTGCCATGTGCGTCCTGTCTTTGCTCCTGGTGATTTGGCTTGGCTGGTTTCTGTGGTTTTTCAACTTCGCACCATCCTGCCTTGGCAGAGGCTGCACATGCTGGTCCCCTGGAGATGTCCCTGGTTTGGACAAGGAAGTGACAGCCATGGCATGGCAGTTTTCTCCAGGGCACGGTGAAGAAGATCAGCTGGCCTGTGTAGCATTATCCTTATCTTGCATCATCTGAGAGCTGTGTCACTTTGGACATTTGGAGTACCTCCAACTTTGGAGCACCTTGCTCCCATGCTGTCTCTCATTCCAGCCTCCTTGCTCCTATTTCCCCACTGCAAACTCTGCCCGTGTTGTCTATGTACCTTAATGAGAGTCAAATTTGAAATGTTCTGGCTTTAAGTGGCATTCAGAGCCTAGCTGTTGCTTTAGAAAGAGAAAAGTTTGCTCTCCAACAGTGACCAGGTAGCTGCATTGGAAGAAGTGGTGTTCATGTGGCAAATCCTCAGGGAGTGTGCTCTCCACACCAGTCTTTGCAGTTCTGCCATGAACCAACTGCATTTCTGGTGCAGATTGCTGGGCCTCTAGAAATCCAGGCTGCTTCTGTGGCTCTCACCTGGCCACCATGGTTCAGTTCTCCCTGACAGCATCAGGCTGGCTGGGTCTGACCCTCTCTGCCTGCTCCTTCTCAAGTATTGGGAGCAGGATGGAAGATAAGCCGTAACTTGTATCTGTGCCTAAAAAGATCACAGGTAAATTGTGGAGCTGTCTAATCTAAGGAGACTTCAGTTTTAGTGCACAAAAAAAAAAAAAAAACTTCAGTAAGATAAATAAAATAGTGGAATGATTCTTAATTTTACATATGGTATGGTAATATTTTCCCACTGAGTAGAAACGCAGCCTATAGTACGTATAGAGCATGAGTTGACAGGTATATTTTTATGCCACTCCAGGGGAGAGAAAAAAAATCTCTTTGTTTCACAAAGCACTGAAGTAGCATCTGTGGAATGGGACAAACAGACTATGTGTAAGATAAGAGATATGACGACCCTTTAAGAAACCTGACAAAACGTCATCCCTCTTCCTACGTGTCCAGCTTTGGTTCTGTGTTAACTTTCAATACTTTTTCTTTCAATAAATGGTTTTGGACTTCAGCCCTTGGCGTCTCTCTTGCTGGTTGTGTGCCTGTCTCAAGAAGCACAGTTGCTTTTGTATTAAAGTCAGAAACAATTCTGAAGTGGACTTCAAAACTCAATGGAGAAGGGTGAGCACGTGGTTTTGGACTTGCAACGCATAGGACCAGGGCCTGTGACTTGGCCATGCCATCAAGCTGTGCACTGCTGGATGTGTCCCACAAGGTGTTTCTGCAAGGTCTGCTAAGCAAAAGCCATCATCTCAGCAGCAGGAGGTGCCCTGCAGCCCCTCTGCTCCCCACCACAAGCTCTCCAGGGAGGCCGGCACATCCATAATTCATTCCCAGCCTCACACCAGCTCCTGCTTGTCTCCTTGGCCTTATAACACCTATTTGCAATGCACCAGGCCAGCCCTGGGACCCCAGCTGGAGCTGTGCCAAAGGAGAAGATGCTGTCTGATATCTGAGCATCTACGGCCTGCCTTGAGCTGTAGAAAGGAGCATCAGGTGGGTGAGCTTTGCTTGGCGGGGTGCTTTCACCCTGCAAAGCTGATGAGGATGCCTGTGGGTCTGGCTCTGTCTGGAGAAGGGGAAATGAGCCATAGTGACTCATGGCTCCAGATCTCCTCAAGTGTTCAGCTGGCCCTGCTCCATCGGTACCGTGGGACTGAAGGTCTGCTGAAAGTCCAGCTTAACACTTCTAACTTCGTGCAAGCAGGAGAGGAGGAAAACAAAGGAGATTTTCCCTCTGCCTCTTTCTCCTCATGGCACAGCAAATGCAGCAACATGCAGGCCCTGGTCCCACGGTGATATTCCCATATCCCATGGTGGCACCATGGATGCTGGGAGCAGGCGTCTCCCAGGGCCCCAAAGCACTGGGCAGTAAGGTAAACATTGCTATAAAAGTGAGCTTGGTGTTTGCCCACACCATCTACGTGCACATCCACTATACATGGGGCTGTGGGCAGTAGAGCAGAGGGCTTTCTTACGGTTTGCACATGAAATAGAGAGGAAGGCTGGCGTGGGAATGCACCATTCATCACGCCTGGCCTGTGTCCTCCCTGCTGCCTTATTACTTGTATTGCTTCTTTTATTATTTCTGAACATCGGAAAGTCTAAATTGGATGGGCTGAAAGTTTTCATGCTCTTTATGATAACTGTGTGTGCCACCAAAATAATCTGCCAGCTAATGAGAAACGTTTCTATAGGAAATGTTTTCAGATCTCCCGATTAATTATTTCAGACTGAGATGTGCTTGAATTTTCTTGATGGATTTCAGAAATCAAGCTACAGATAAAACACCACCCTGAGTTTGCCCCTCACTGAAACATTTTAGGACATGAATAGGAACCTCTGCAAAAAGAGGCTTTTCCTCCTTCTCCAGTGGCAGGAGAGAGTTTACCAATCTGACCTTGAGGCTCATAGATTAGATGCAGTCCTTCAGGTATTTACTTGCAGTTAATTTGGGACTTGTTCTCCCAAGGAGCCTGTATGCTCACCAGCAGCAGAACTGGATGCTGTTCTTCCCAGTGCTGGCAGAAAAGGGAGCTGGTGTGGTGGGACTGGGCAGCCTCTGGGGCTCTTCAGCAGCACCCACAGAGAGGAGGAGGAGGGCAGCAGGCTGAGCTCAACACTCTTTCCCTGAAGAATTCTGCAGTGAAAGTGGCTTTGAAGAAAGGGGGAAAGAAAGCCAGGCAAGGCAAGCTGGGAAAAGAAAGGGGCGATCATTGTAGGTGCTGGCTGTGCACCTGTGGAGGCAGTCTAGCATCACTAAAGCAATGCAGCTGAAGGGCATTTGGTGACTTTCTGCTTGCTTTTGGCTCATGTCCTGCAAATCCATAGGAAAGGTGCTCAGGTCTGAGATCTTCTGCATGCATCAGCAGTGATGGCTGCTCCATTGGCGGTATTCTGTTCTATCATTAGGTCTGGAGTTAATTACAGACCTCTAGTGGGGCTTCATGTTTGCAGATTGTACCCACTGAACACCCTAGCTACTTTCTTGAAGCATGGTTTGATGTTGGGATCAACCTTGCTGTTTTCTCAGTGTGTTCCTTAAGCAGCAAGACCAGTTTGAATCAGCTGCAGTGGCTCTGATCCCACAGGGACTTGGATCTTTACACCTCTCGTCCTGCTGCAGTTGGGTTTTTTGGGTTTGATTTAGTGGGTTCTCAGAGCTGGGTCAAGAAGTTCTTGCTGGCATTTGGCTTTCTTCTTTGTTTCCAGAATGAAAAAAAGCAACACTCGCCTGTTATGTTGTGGTTTTTTTGTGTTTTTTTTTCTGAGAGAAAAGATGGGAAGAAATTAGATCAAAGCAATCTTAGCTTTTCTAGCCAAGTTGCTTAGGCAAGTCTTTACATCCCTTGAAATACATTAAGCGTGGCTCCAGGGGCTATGGTGGAGACTCAGCACTGTAAAAATGCAGATTTCAGGGAAAGCCTTATGCATTGTGACAATTTAAAGTATCCCTGAAGGGCATTCACTCAGGCAGAAGCGCATTTTCTTTGAAGCAAATTATGAATGAGACAGGAGAACGATTTTGTTTTATTTTATTTCTGCTGGAGATGGGCATTGGATCAATTAAGCAGAGCAGAGGCCATAGAGCAGCTCAATTTGCAAAAGGGCAAAACACAGAGGAGATGGCTGCATCCTGCCTGGCTTCCAGGCCGTCCGTCTCCTCTCTGGCAGAGGAAGTGGAGGAACAAGGCTGCAGAATGCCAGGATGCTGTGGTTTGGGGAATCCTGACACGCACACAGAGACTTGCTGACCGAAGTGTGGTGATGGCACCCAACCATGGGTGCTGGGGATCCCCTTGGCTCTGCTCTTCCTCTTGGAGATGCTGGTTCTCTGGGCTGCAGAGCCCAGGAGCTGCGTGTGTATGTGTGCCAGGAATGCTGCTGCTCAGCCTGGGACTGCTTGAGCTGACCAAATGCACTGCAAATGCATTTATATATTTATGAATAAAGATACACATTTATGCTATTCTAAGGAGAGAAGACCATATGGTTTTAGCATGCAGTAGTTCATCCTGCAGTGTCTGTGTGTATATATAATGTATTTATTATCTTTGTCTATATCTACCCAGAAATACACAACAGCTGAGATTTTCCTGTTTAAATATAGCTTTACAAATCCTTTGGACACGAATACCAGCAAAAGAAGTTGTTCTTCCCTTGATAGAGACCTTTCCTTGGTGGCATACCTGTCAATGTAATTCTTATTTATTTAATCTCGCTTTTACATCTGTGCTTAGAATTTTCCACAGCGTGGTCTCAGAACTGGAAATCTAGGTCAGAAGTCCAACTGGACCTCATAGCCCACTCCACCTGAGCGTCAAAAGCCCAGATTTTGGAATTTAATGGGATATACAGGCCTGCCAGAAGGTGGAACCTCCAGTAATGTGGAATAATGGCTCTGCTGCCATTCCTGGTTGCGTTTGGTCAGGGCAGTTTAAACTCAGCAACAGATGAATCCAGCACTAACTGCAAGAGCAAGCATGGAGAAGGCATTGGTTGCTGCTGGGCATTCAATAGTGGTGAAACAAAAAGGGTGGTGGTGATGAGGGAGTAAAGCAGCACAACCTGCTGAGGCTCATACTATCCCATGAGAAGCCCACTGGTACCCTGGGGCACGTTAAAAAGAGCACAGCCAGCAGGTCAAAGGAGGTTATTCTCAATCTCTCACCTGCCCTGATGAGCACACAGAGGCTGGCCAGGAGGTTTAGAAAAGGGGATGTTGCTGTACCACACAGAGACCACACAGCTGACAGCTCCATGGAGGCTGCAGCTCAGTCCCAGAGTGCAATCATACGGTGCAGGATGCCTCCAGCTATCAAGTTCCTGGTCTGGCCAGGTACATGGGGATGCTGTGAGGAGTCTCTTCTTTGTACCCACACTACATACCTCTCTGTGCAATGCTTCTGGCTCAGTTCTAGCCCAAGCACCACAACCAGGAGGACATGCTGGCCAGCTTCCTCATTACCAGCTCCTCTGCGGTCTGAGATGTTCTTAGAGATGATGAAGCAGGCCAAAATGAGGCAAGACAAGCATGAGGTTCAGTTTCTGCCTGCTGGTGGTAGAGCCCAGCTTTGCAGAGTTCAGTGGGAAGGCACAGAAAGCCACACAGCTTGGAAAAGAGAGATGAAGCTGTAGTAGAGCTGCAGCCCACCAGTAAAATGAACACGGCAAATATCTGTCCTAACAAAACACATTTATTGCATTGCAAATAAATGTATCTGGACCATAGTCCTGGTCACCCTGCTTTGGGTGGGCCTGCTCAAGCAGAGGGTTAGACCAGACAGCCTCTGGTCTTTCCAACCTCATCCATTCTGTGAAAAAGAAGGTTGATGCATCCCAAGCAGAGCCAGATGGACACTCACAGTCTCTTTTTCTTACTTGGTTAGCAGAGAGCATTCTTATCTGTAACACTTTTCTCTTGATGTCTTCTAGATCCTTTCTTTTCCCTGTGAGCTGAATGAAATGCTTTGTCTCTGGGCTCTTTCAGGTCACAAAGCAGCCATCTTCCAGGGGTCATAGTCAAACCTCCAGAGCTTGATGCCAGACACCTGGCTAGGTCTTAAAATCTCACCAAACGCATGAGCCCTAACTAGTAATCTGTTAGAAAGTAGCCATGTCCTTCCTGCTGTTACTCTGGAAGAGCCTTGAATGTTTTGACAGATCTGTGAAAAAAACATGGTGTTCCATGAGGCATGGGAGCTATTAGTTGGAGGCCTCATATGGGAAATAGGCTGCTTATGCCTCTCCTGTGCTTGCCCTGCAGGGGCTGCAGGAGGTAGTGCATCCCCTGGCGCTGTCAGCCTGGATGGAGTGAAGTCGCAGGGACAGATCTGTGGCCATGGCCAGGGCACTGGGCTGGCCCTGCATGCAAGCTGATGGGTTCTGGAGCCTGGTCCCCTGGGAGGAGCAGCCACTGTGCAGGATAGGGAGCCAAGCATCCTG